CAGCAGCAGAGCGGGGCCCACACGACAGCTCATAGGGGTGGGCCCACCCTTATCTGGACACATCAAGAGAACTCGCCGCCAGCCTACCTCATCCCTTATCCTTATCCCTTATTTTATCTTCTTAAGTAAGAGTTGTGTTACCATTAGGAGTAGGTAATTAGTAGTTTGAGTTCAAGTTGGAGTTTGAGTTTAATTAGGAATTTCCTTCTGTAATCTCCTATTTAAGGAGCCACGAATTGAAATAAAGCATTCAGTTTTCTAGTCAAGAAAAGAGTGAGGAGAGTTCGGGTGGTCTCTTGGACAAATCACCCATTAGGAGAGTTCGGGTGGTCTCTTGGACAAATCACCCATTCAGTTTCCGTAATAGGGTTTGCACGCAAAGGAAGGCGCAAGGGAAGCAGGGCTTTCTCATCGTGGACCGACCCGTGACGAGATCCTACGCGCAGGACCATAACAAGGGGTCGGTGCTCTTCTATGAGTATACACTTGCCTGATTGGTGGCCTCTCAGTAGTAATTGGCATGGGAGGTGAATCTGCAACTGGAATGGGAACCACGGGAAGGGGATCTGCAACAGGGACAGGATATAGGAACTATGGGGGAAGGAGATGAAACCAGAATATCCGAGAAAAAAGGAACCGATTCAAAGAAGGTGACATCGGAGCACACAAATGACTTATGGAAGTTAGGGTTATAGCACTTATACCCCTTTTGAGTCCTTGAGTAGCCAAGGAAGATACACTTAGTAGCTCGTGCATCTAACTTGTCTAAACCTGGCCCCAAGTTTTGAACAAAACAAACACATCCAAAGACTCTTGGGGTGAGAGGAAACGAAGACAAGGTGGGAAACAACACCGAGAAGGGGGATTGACTTTCAAGGATGGACATGGGCATCCGATTGATGAGAAAACAGGACGTGAGGACAACATCACTCCAAAAATGCTTTAGGACATTCATATTAAGCATCAAAGACCGAACAGTTTCAAGGAGATGTCGATTTTTCCATTCAGCTACACCGTTCTGTTGTGGGGTGTAGGCACAAGAAGTTTGATGAATTATTCCATGATGTTCTAGGTATTGCTGAAATGATGAGGAGATGTATTCTTTGGCATTATCTGAGCGAAGAATTTTAATATGAACACCAAATTGGGTACGTATTTCAGCATAAAATTTTTGAAAAATAGAGAACATTTCACTGCGATCTTTCATAAGATAAATCCATGTCATCCTTGAAAAGTCATCAACAAAAATTACAAAATACTTATAGCCATTGTATGACATCACTTTGATCGGACC